CAAACTAGCAATAAAATTTTATTAAAATTTTTTAAAAAAATTAAAGATATATGCAATATATTTTTATGGGATATATTCTAATAAAGACAAAAACTATTTATTTATTACTATTGTAATAAATACAATCTCTTATCCGTGAAATGATATATCTGTACCAGTTTTATATATTTGTATGCAACATAATTAAAATTAATCAAAAATGTAAGATAAATGCAAAAGGAAACTTGACGCATAATTAATTGCATTTGCATTTGATTTTCTCCACCAAAAGATTATTAATAAATAGCTCAATGTACTCTTTTAATACAAATAATCTATAATACTACTTTAAAAGGTGGTGAAAATATTCATTATACGCCGTATAATATGAATTTCAGCAGCCTAATTTCTAATAACTCAAATGATGTTTTTTAATGATGCTTACTGTTTAGATCAATTATGCAGCGCAACAATCTTTCTTTGTTCTCTGGATGATTATTATTTCGCTTATACCTCGACCAATGTTGATAAAAATCTTAATGAGAAGCTTCAACAGTTTGTCCACTATAAAGCCTCAAGGGGGATCCTTTGTGACTGATGAAATCCTTGATGTGGTAAAAGACGGCGTGAATTTTGGGTGTTACGCTTGCACCAGTTATCATTAGGTAACACTTTTTGAAATTTTTTCAGCGAAATCCGGCTGAAGGATATATCCAAAGCAAGCCTTGACAACTAAATTGAAGCTTTTAAATGCTTCATTTATGCACACAATATTGGGAACCATGTTTGTCAACATTGCTGCAGCATATCCACATTTTTAAGAAGCTTCCTCCATTCATTTCCCTCAAACTGGCCGCCATGATACGGGCTCAGTTAAATGTGGAGGGCAGCTGGCCACTTAACAGCTTTTACCCAAGCAGTTTTAAGGATCTTAAAAAGATGGTTGACAACTCCTAAGAGGAGATGCAATTCCATCGGTGGAATGATTTCCAAAATCAGAACATTGACAGGCCTGCAGATGATTGGCTTTCGAATGACATTGTCAAACAGCTTTTGCATTAGCAACAACCCCGCCAGATTGCTGAAATTATTCAAGGCTTGAATTAATTGAGCCCAGTGTTCGCAAGTTTCCAGATTTGGCAAGACAATTGGAATTGACCTCTCACCAGGTGCAAGGGTGCGTACTTGAATGAGTTTAAAGACCACAAATTATATTTGCAACTTTCATATCACAAGCCGAAATTAGTTTAACTCCATTTGCATTAATCAGTGGCCAGATTTGTTCAATATTGGAGTGTGTTCCTGGCTAATCTTCTGAAACCCCAGCAATAATTTATCTCTTGATTCCAGTGTCTTTACCAGTCCTTTGAGTAAGACGTTGTTGTTGGTGCGGTGAGCTGGTTTCATCTCTTAACGCAGTATCAACAATGCTTAGGCAAAACTTGAGAAAACCTTTGCCATCATCAATTTCGAGCTTAACAAAATAGCCACCAGAAATTTTGCCGCACTAATTAACATGATTCACAAGACTTGATAAATCATTGCAGTGAGCAACAACATGAACTGTACAAGAATCTGTTTTTTCGTCTGTGATTTTTAAGTCGCTGCAGGTGAAGAAATTGCTCAATGTTGACCTAGTCTTAGAAAATTCATGTAGAAATTTCGCTCTTGCTGCTTGATGTTTTGTTTATAGTTCTAACAAGTTTCTTTAATCCGTTGTTTGACAGGCCCGTATTTAATTGCACATTTACAAGTGCTACAGTGGTCAACTTCGGAGCACTTGATGGTGTCTGCGCACTACTTTTCCTAAAACCAAAACATATATATTTTATAGTTACAATAAACTTTTTTTAGTAAGTTTGTGTAAAACTTTCAAATTATTCGTTTTTAAAGAAATTAGAAACTTGTCAAAAATATAGTTCTTGAAATCTAACTAGTTTTATTTCTTAATAGTCAAGACTTTATTTCAATATACATGTTAAAATTATTTAAGTATAAATAAGAACAAACTGTTGAAACTTCTCATCAAGATTTTTATCAACATTGGTATAAGCGAAATAATAATCATCCAGAGGATAAAGAAAGATTGTTGCGCTGCATAATTGATCTAAATAGTAAGCATCATTAAAGAACATCATTTGAGTTATTAGAAATTAGGCTGCTGAAATTCATGTTATATATGCTGAAATTCATATTATAAAATGAATACTTTCACCATCTTTAAAAGTAGTATTATAGAGTATTTGTATTAAAAGAGTACATTAAGCTATTTATTATTAATCTTTTGGTGGAGAAAATCAAAAAAACATTTCTTAAAATGTAATTAGATATTTGATGGTAATACAATGTAAAAAATAGGGTTTAAATAGTTTTCACTTCATTTTAAAAGTAAATATATTACTTTTTTGTTTTGTTTTACTAACTGGTTATGCTTTGCCCAGGTTTTGCTCTTTTTTTTAGCTTTATCTTTTTTGGCAGCAGTTTATACCTTAGGAAATGTTGGTATATTCAAGCGAAGCATACATGGCTGTCAATGCCGGGAAGGCTAGGGGTCAAGTCCTTCTCTACTTTTTTTACGCAAGGACCTTTTGTTTTAGAATTATGGATTTTATTTTAGAAATTGAGGGGTTGACCCTCTCCACTTTGAAGGTCGTGTCAACGCCATTTGCATAAGCCAATTTAAATCACGCTTTAAGTAGCAAATCACTATTTTGGTCTATAAAATGAACACTGTACATATACCGATAAATAATTATAACAAAAGTTGTTGGTATTACATAGTGAAACACTCATGTAACCGTTATTTCAAATATAGTGACCGAATTACAAAGTAATCAGTAATGCTTTGAGGTAAAAGTAGCAAAAAACTGACAAAACTTAAACTAAAACTGCAATAAATCCTTCATCAGTCAACCAATAAGGCTGCAATTTTGTCCAGAGTTTGGTGTGACTATTGGCTACATTTGCACCAATTTTTATCAAATTATATTGAGTGGTTCAAGTTCTACAAATGTCTTTATTGGCGCACTATGAAGTCAAAATGTGACTTAATTTGAACATTCAAATTAAATTATTTTCCACGGATAAAATTAAATGATTTCAAAATTTGCATCACAGGGTACCTTGATGTGTACACTAACTTTCCGTATAAGTGGCCCTCTTGGGACAGCTAGGTAGGCATTATAAGGATCCGTGCTAACCGTGCAGAAAAGATGTCAATTTTTTTGCTCTTTTTAAGTGAATAAGGAATAGGTATAAAAAAAATCGGTGTGGATTAGATATGTATAGAAATGGTAGGTTTTGTTAAGACTCGTTTTTTATGAATCCAGAAAGCTACGATATATAAGGCAAAGACTCATATTTTTACGGGTCTGATTTCAGCTAGTTATATTTACTTGATCATAAGTATATCAAGTCTTCCTGGGAAGCGCATGCGGTTGCATGCTTTGTACATCCATGCCTAAAGTTAATTTTTTAGACAACTTGACCACGTTTTTATATAGTAAGTGTTTTAAGAATTCGTAGCAAAATAAAGCTAAGAAACTATAGAATAAAACAGCAATACTCAAAGAAAAGAACCGAAGACTATGCGAAATAGAAAATCTAAATAAATTAAGTTAAAAAAAATTAAATTAAAAAAATTAAATATTAGAAAAAGAAAATTGTAGTCAAAAAAATAATATACTTAAATATTGTACTCTTTTTGTTTTCTTATTTTTAGGGTGTTTGTTAGGGTGTTTTTTTTGCTTTGCTTTATCCAATTTTGTTGCTGAAAATAACAACCACTCTTAACAAAAATAAAAACAGTACAATAATTATTTGAAATTATAATTATTTTTTCCTATTTAAATTTATTTAATTTCATATTTTGTTAGTTTTGCTTTCTTTATTTTTAAAACTTTTTCCGCACCGCTTAATATAATAAAATTTGCAAGCGGCCATGACCTAGTTGTCTAAAATAAATTACTCATACAAGGACAAACAAGACAAAAAATTGCACGCATTTTCTGGGAAGGCTTGAAATTGGTTAATTTGTTTGACTTTTAACTGATTCAAGGGTAATATAGCGATTTGGGTTTTATGTTGATGTTGTGTGTTGCTTTAATTTTAGAAGTTTACATGTTGGTTTGATCCTGAAAACAGAGTGGAAGTTATTATATAAAGTTGAAATTATCTTTTGCAAGTCTACTGGTATATTATCTACTGAGTCAAGAAGTAGATTAGTATTTGTTGCATTTATTCTTGTAGTGGTTAAACAAGACAGTATGATTAGATTCCTAAGCTATGACTATTTTTTCTTGGCTACTAATTGACTTTTTCTAATTAATCACTGGAAAAATACCTGGTAATTTTCCAGTGATTAATTGGGTAATAAATATAGTTTCCCAATCAAGTGAGGAGGTTTTTTCTGAGACCACTAAAGTCAGTGTGACTCCATATATTTTTTTTAATTGAGGTTTGGTCATTGAAAACATTATGATTGTTGAGTAGAAATTAGCGTGTCAACAGCTCTTACTAGCCATAAGTTATTCTAAGTCAGTAATGTGACAAGCTATTTAAACATTTGAAATAGCTCGTCACATTACTGACTTAAAATAACTTGTAAATTTCAACATTTCATTAAGACTTCATTTATATACAAAAAAAAAAAGAGGACCTGGAAAATGAATCACGAGGAACTTGGTATGTCAAATAAGTTAATTCTATCTATTAGACTTTTTTTCTAGCAATTTTTTGCTAGGTAATTATACACAGGGTGTATTAAATCTCCAGTGAACACTAAATCTGTATTTTAATGAACTGCCTAATAGACACTCAGAATTAGAAAGCAAAAGAATTGCTGAAAATATTTTTAGAAAACTTTTTGCAAAGGTGCAAAAAGCAATTGTGGTATGCTTAATTTAAGCTCTATTATTGCACTGTCTTTTTTAACCTGTTGTTTTTAATTTTTATTTAATGACTTTCTTTAATGCATTAATAGTTATTATATTGAAGTAAAATTATTTTGTGTTGATTTTTAGATATAGCATGACAGCTGCCACTAAGTGTTTATGTGAACGAGGTGCAGATGTTAAGCTAAAAAATACCCATGGATCTACTGCTCTTCATTTAGCTGCTCGAAGAGGAAATGAAGAAATTTGTAGAATTCTGATTAACCATGGTTCTGATGTAAATGCTACAGATAGTGGAAATGTAGTATTTTTTTATTATTAATGATTTTTATAATGTAATAATATATTTCATTTTAAAAACGTTTTTTCCCCATCAAATTTACAATAAGTAGATTTTTTTTTTAATTAATTTTATTACTAAAATGAAAATATTTTTCTTTAATGAATTTTTTAAGTAGTTAAACTCAAACAACAGTTTTAGTTTAAAATTTTTGAATTTAGGTCTTAAATTTAATGAAAAATTTATCTAAACATAAAGTTATGTTGTTTTTTTTTAATTTTTTTTTAGATATTATATTTACTTATAGATGTTTATTTTATTTCTATTCATTCGTATCATATCTATTTTATTTTTCTATCAATAGAATAAAATAGTTGGCAAAGTTTCCAAATGATTGAAATTACCTTCCGGGATCACCGGGATCTTCCGTCATTTTCAATTTTAATGATTTAAACCCTTTTTCCAAACATTTTGTACCAACCAAAATATATAATAATTGTGACAACATAAAACTTGTAGAATGTAATAACATCAGTTTACAGCTTTGCATACAAAACAGTCAGTCAAAACAAGAATACTATAAAAGGTTTTATAGTGTATCTGTTTCCACTTGCAAAGATCTAGTGCAGTTATGCTTCACTACTTGCAAAATGTTTTGATAATGTTCTATTCTCTCTAAATTAATTGACATTAATAATATTTGTAAAATTTACCCAATTAACAGTATAATGCATCAAAAATTTAGAGTCTAAAATAAGGTTATAAAAAAGAACCATGAGTTTGATTCAACTAGGTCAGCTAATCTTGTTAATGTTATTATTATATCTGTCAAAAATCTAGACTTCCCAAAATCAAATATGGTGTGCATTAATTAATAGCAATGCATTATCTGGCTTTACTAAATTAACTGTCGCAAGTGTACCACGATCATTTGTTTGTGCATTATCACTTCATGAGTTGAAGGTATCATCTCTATTATCAGATACCAAAGGTGATGTTTAAAAGCTTTAATTGCACTCTGTGATATCACTAAATAGCAAATCCAACAAATAGCATATTCCAACATTAACTGGTATTTCTTAAGGTCATTCCAATTTCTATGTTTCATGAAATTGCAAAATATCCAACACAAACTATAGACTAGTGTTACCAAATTAACAAGTTTGCAAAGTTTAAATGTTCTTTTGCATGCTGTTATTGTTCCTTGGAAAAACTTTTGAATCTGCTGTTTGAAAAAAAGTGATATGTTTCTGTAAGTCTCCCCCCATTTATTCAGCACCAAGGAAAACAATGCAGAGCTCAACAAACTTCAAGTATTTGTTTTAACAAAATAATTTATACAAATAAAATAATTTATGCAAATTTTAGGGCTTAAGTACACTTATTTAAAGTCTAACAACAAAAATCTTGTGTTGTTTTGTGGAGTTTGCTGTTGTTTAAGAGAGATAATCATTCAACAGAATCAATATTATCAACAAGAAGTTGCATTGCTTGACAAATGCAGTGCAGCAGATCTGTGGAAATCTTAAGGATCAAATTGCTTGTAAAATTTGTATAACTTTTAGAGACTTTTTAGATTTATTAGCACATGTGATAATATAACTTCACTGCAACAAATTTTGGTTACCACATAATATCATGATTAATAAATACTGGTGTTACAGTGTGAATCAAATGATAAGGCCATCTCATCATTTGATTCATGCTAAATCAAATGATGAATAATGGTAGCTTTCTTTGTATAGAATTTGAAGGTGCAAAAAAAAAAAAAAATGTTGCATAGTGTTAAGTGAAAGCCCAATATGACTTAATTCAGCATGTTTTCATTTAAACACCTGTGTCTCAAAATGGTACAATAAGAAATGAGACAAAATTTTAAAAATATATAGTATAAATAAAACTTACACAAAACAAAACATAATTTCAATTTTTCGTAAATGTTGGTACAAAATCAAATAAGTATTATTTTGTTTCTTAAAAATTAGTACAAAACAAAATAAAGATGAATGAAAATGAAACAGTAAAAATTGAAACAAATTTTTTTATTATTATAAAAATAGTAGTATAAGTTTTTTCATTCATTTACATTTATGATAATTTTTTTTTTTCTAAAGCATGTTTCTGTCTCTTTTTTATTGCAACTTCTTTATAGAAGTTGCAACTACTTTGTAAAGTCATTGTAGACTAGCAGTAGTAACATTATAATAATAGAAGTGGAAACACAACCTAGTAACATTGCTTGGCATTTAATAATGCTAAAGAACACAACATAATTTATTACAACACTTGAATTCAAGGAACTTTATTTGTTACAATATTTGAACTCACAGGACAATTGTAGTTTAACATTTTGAATAATTATCATAAATTAGCAAACAACTTGTTAAATTTTTTTTATCCATTGTCATTGTAGTATTAAAAAATATCTAAGTTTAGTAATAACATAGCTGACTCAATTAATGGTCGCATTACTAATTAACCTAATCAAAGAGAAATATTATATTTAAGTTTGGAGTTTCCATAATGTGTTAAAGTGTCCTATCTGGAACATCAAAAAATCCTGTGGGCCCCCATGCATGTGTGTGCATTGAGGGAAACTATACCATTTACTCCCTATACCAAACATCTTTTTATGTTGGCAAACTAGGATCTTTAGTCAGAATTTTAACTTTTCTATTGATTTGCTGGTTAATTGTGATAAATTAGAAAATCATTGTGCGTACCTTTAAATTAAACCCTCCTCTTCCCCCCCCCTCCCCATACACTTTTGTATGCTTTTTGAAGACCTCCCCTCTCGTCCCTATGAGCCTACTTACTTTATGGACGACTCCTTACTATTATAGAGAATTTTTAGAGTTACAGAGAAGTTATTATTTTGTCTTAGGCAACTTATATTATTTAAATATTTATATCAAACTTTCATTAGTTTTTTTCAACTTAATTTAAAAATTAAATTAAAAATAAAATGAGTATTTTTGTAAAAAATTTTAAAGGAGAAAATGTTAGTTATTTAACTGCTTTCGTAGATTTTAAAATTTTTCTACTTGGCACAAATAGTAACATTGCTTTGTCAATGTTTCTTTTTATTATCAGAAGTAAAAAGTATTTTTTCACTTCATTAAATAACCTCCTTCCACATACCAATATATTGCAATTAACTTTTATTAAAAGTTTTAAAATGTTTTTATAACTAAAAAATATGATTAGGAACTTAACATATACAAAAGAATGATAGCTTGTATCCTGTATAATTTTATTATGTTGACTTTACATTTACAGAGTAAATAAGTTCAATATTTTTATTGTGTTAAAACATGTTTAAATTTTTTTTTAGTTTTTGGTTTTTTGATTTTTTTTTTCAAATTTAAAATTATAAAGCTTTATATAATCACATTGCAGTGCACACCACTTCATATGGCGATTCTTGCATGCAGTGAAGTTATAACAAAGTTACTAATTAAAAATGGAGCCGATGTAAATGCAAAAGATGGTGATGGCGAAGGACCTATTCATTATGCTGCTGCTATGAATCAAGAAAGTATAATTATTTTACTGACTAAAGGAGGTAAAAGAATAAAATTTATTTAAATTTTTTAAGTTTGTTCTCCTGCTTGACACAAAAATGTTAAATTTTGTATTGTTTTTTATTTGAAAAGAATTGCACAAATACTTAAATATTCTAAATGCAAAATCCTGAGTCAATGTAGCAGCACTCCTTGCATGTTCTGCCTAACATGTGATACCTAGAAATCCGGACAAAAGTTCGGTCGACATAAATTGTTTAAGGAGTGTTGCAAAATTGTTGCAACTTATGCTGTTGTAATAAATTTAATTCTCTACAAATTGCAATATATCTTTTAGCAAACAATTACAGTGGAACTGGACAAGTAGCAATCAAGATGAACACAAAGCAAATCACCATGCTGAAAAAGCGAATCGATCATAGTGACGGAGTTAGCCAGCATCAGCTAGCCCGCGAGTATGGTGTCAGCCAAAATACAAAAAGAAGAAAAAAGTTCCGGATCAAACTCCGCAACTTCGTTCCAGATCGAACTCCGCAAGGCAGCTGTTCATCCAAAGTGTGCCTATCTGGCCAGAGTTTTCCGGAAAAAGAAGGTGATCATCGGCGATGAGTCCTATTTTTCGTTAAGCAATAATGAACTATCTTGAAATGCTATTTTCTACATGTCTGACGTCGAAATGACTCCAGAAACTGTTAAACTCAAGCGCAAGTCCAAGTTCGAGCCAAAGGTACTTGTTTGGATTGCTATGTCCGAGGACAGCCTGTCGAAGCACCTGGTGACACCTTCGGGCCAAGCAATCAATTAAGATGTCTACATCCAGAAGTGCTTGATGAAGCGCTTGATTCCGTTCATCAAAATATTTCATAAGAACAACGAGATGGTTTTCTGGCCTGACCTCGCTACGTCTCATCACGCAAAGAAAACGCAGGAGTTCCTCCAAGCGAATAGTATCAAATTCGTGCCTAAGGAGCGCAACCCTGCCAATGTGCCAGAACTCTGACCAATTGAAGACTTTTGGTCAGAACTCAAATGAAGAGTAGATGATTGTGTGCACATTTTAGTGCACTGACAGGATCAACTACTGCATAAAACAAATCAGTAAAGATCGTTTACATCAACTTGGCAAGGCTTCTTTCAGCCGAGTGGACAAAGTTCGCAGACATGGCATGATAAACTTATAATTTTTTAAATCTGAAGCTTCATATGCTTAACTTTATCTTTTTACAGAAATAAAATTGCACCTTTAGTCTCAAAGTTATAAGTTTTTTAGTTTTGTCCGGATTTCTAAGTATCACATGTTATTTGTCAGTTAATGTAGCAACACTTCTCACATGTTCTATTTGTTTGACAGTCAATGTATGTACTTTAGGGCGGGTCAATTTTTTTAATAAAGCAGCATATTGTGGGGGGTTCCTAAATATGTGTTCCTAAATTTGATCCTAAGCATCTTCATTTCTACAAACATAGTAGCAATATTTTACAACCTCTCTTTTTGTAGGAACCATTGCAGTTTGAAATTTAGAACCTTGTCCAAATGTTAAGTTGTCAGTTTTACTGCGAATATGAAATCTTGCCATAATGCAATGTGTTGCTTATTATTAGTTATATTTTATTTTTATTTACTAACAAATAAAAAGAAGAAAAATATATACACAAAGACTAAATAAAAAGAAGAAAAATATATACACGAAGACTAAATTAATATACTATGTATAGAGTCTAAAATGCAACAAATAGAATAAACTAAAAAGTTACATAGTAGCATAGCAAAAGTTCTTATGTTGACGTGATATTTTGAAACTTTATTTAACGCATGAAGTTAATAATTCTGAAATTGAGCAACAATTTTTTTTTTGCTTTAAGTTCTTTTGTTAAAAGAATGTATACCCAAAAAAAAAATTTTTTTTTTACAAACTTTTATTTTGTGGAAAAATTAGGGTGTGTGGTGCAACCACTAGGGGTGTGTTTTAAAAAAAAAATTTAGTCTACTAAGTTTATTACACCAATTCAAAAACTCCACATAGTGCTGCTTGTCAAAAATTTTAAAAAAGTATGGTTTTGACCTGCCCTAATGTACACTCCTTGTATGTTATACATCAGTTGATGTATGTTCACTGAACAGGAATGGTAGGCTGTAGCCTGTGCCTGTCTCCACACCAGTGTATGTCAGTTCACACGGGCTCTATTATTCTTAGATTACTAAATTTTATCTGTTTGGTTGTAGAAACTTTAAAAAAAAATTTGGCATTGTTATTAACAAAAGGAAGTCTAACATTCCATCTTTTATATATGGTTCTGATCTTATTACTTCTCCTAAAGATGAGGCAGAACTATTTGCAAAGAGTTTTTTCTCTAATTTATCTCTTAAATCTAATGACTACAATTTTTATAAAGTTATAATTTTTTTACTTAATAAATAAATATTATAATTCGCCTGAATGGCTGAAGTGGTTAGCTCGCTGCGCTGCTGGTTTAAATCTGTTCGCTTGCATTTAATGGACATTTAATTTTTTTTTTATAAATTTTTTTAAAATACAAAATAAAAAATTTTTAAAGTTCTATAGATATTATATACATAATATATATAAAGATATTATATACTATAACAAACGAAAGTGAGAGAATTATTAAAAAAATCTTAAAACTTCTGAAAATGTTAAAACATCACGAGAAATTCTTTGCCCATAAGTTATGATAGATATACTTATGTTTTTAATGGGTTTAGTGTATTAGTTAAGTCTGTAAACATATACAGTATCAAAATTTTAATAATGATAGTTTTTGTGTATTATAAAAAATGCAAATGCTATTTAGTATTTGCAGTTTTTATAATACACAAAAATTATTAGTATCAAAATTTTGCAACTTTATCAATGCAATTCATGATTAATTGCATTGACAATTAATTGCATTATCTATGCAAATTAAAGAAAACTTGAATTTTTTATTCATTAACACACTGTATGACATTATGTATAGCATTATGATAAATAGATAAATTTTTCTTTTCTACAAATATTATCACTGCTGCTCAAAGGAGCTTTCATCTCTAGTTCCATCAACTAAAACTCATTCTCACTTAATTCAGCCTCATTCTTTTACTTTATCTATTCCTGCATGCTCCAAAAACTTTTATTTGTCTAGCTTTTTTACCCGCACTTAAACCCTTTGGATCTCTCTTCCATCTTCATGTTCCTGACTCATACAACCTTTAACTTTTTAAATCTTGTGTCAACTGTTTCCTTGCTCTATAACTCTAATCTCTTTTTCTAGTTACTCCCAACTTAATAGTGGTTGTTTGCAACCTTGTTGAGAGTGAATCAGAATTTAAAAAAAAAAAAAAAAAAATTTTACTCATTCTTTCACTTCACTCATTTTTTAAAAATAAAATAAAAATAATAAAATCAATCAATTCTTTTAGAAAAACTATATATATTTTAAAGAAATATATTTTTTGTTTGGCCCTGTGTTGAAAAAAATTATAGCATTATATAATTATAAAAACTAGAAGAAATATATTATTAATAAATATTTAATTATATTTAAAAAGTTTGATACTTTTGATATTATTTTTAGCTCTTGTATTAATTGATGAAGAAAAAAGGGATGATGCACAAAGAAAATATGTTAACTTAAGAACAGACAAGAAGGATACAGCACTTCACATTGCTGCTCGGGCAGGTTATTTAGACACAGTAAAAACCTTGGTGTCTATTGGTGCCAATGTAAACATTTGCTCTGCTACAGATTCTACACCGTTGCACCTTGCAGTAATCAATGGTGATAAAGATATGGTTGAATATCTGTTAGAACATAATGCCAAAGTCAATGTATATGATCACCAAAACATGTCTCCAGCACATAAGTATGTGGTTTAAAAAAATGTTTCATTTTTATTGTTTAATTGTGTTTTGTATAATGTGTTACTTTAATTTTTTGAGTGTTGAATATATTTCTTCAAGTTTTTTTTTTTAGAGCAAGTCAGTTCGGTCGGTTTGATGTAATAAAGTTATTAGTGGAAAAAGGAGCTCAAATAGATTCTATAGATAGCAGTTGTTTCACACCACTTATGTGGGCTGTTTTAAAAGGTCAAAATGATATTGTAGAATATTTGTTAAAATGTAAAGCAGATGTCACCATAAGTGAAATGAACATGAAAAGCATTCTTCACTTAGCAATAGAAAACTGTCATAGTTCAACACTTCAACTTCTTATAAAGAACGGGTGTTCTTCTTTAATTAACAAACCTGATAAAGATTTTAAAAGGCCATTGCACTATGCCGCTATAAGCAATGACGTCGAGGTAAAACTTAATAAGATAGTCATATGAAATGGTATAGTTAAAAAAAAAGTTTATAAACTTTTTATAAAAGATTCTTAAAATGCTATAATAAAATAAAAATATTTGATATAAATACTAAGTATTTTTATGAATAGAAAGAATATAAATGCTTACCTATTTGACAATAACTATTTTCTCGTAATCTCTTTCTTAAAAGAATTAATTTGAAATGGGTGCACAAATTTCAGGACGTGATGATTCAAGTTGGACTCCGCTTGATTATGCTGCAAGAAATAGACATTCTAAAGTTGTAGTAGCTCTTATTAATTTTTAAGAAAAAAATAAAAAAAGGAATAACTTAATTAAATTAATAAGGCTTATTAATAAGACTTATTAACAAGACAGATAAAAAAACTTCATAAGGTAATAAGAAAGAAATATTTTGATTAAAGGAGATGTAATGAGATTGAAAGCAAACATATTGAATAATAGTTTTAATTAATAGTTTCTATAAATTTTTTAAAAACAGTCCGTTATATGTAGAATATTTCTATTCTTCAAAGAGACGTCCTTTTGAAAAATAGAAAATTAGAAAGGTAGAATATTAAAATGTAGAAGCTGTATCTAAATTTTTTATATACAATTTACAACTTTATATACACCTTTTTGTAAATAGATTTAAAAATAATGTTTTTAAGGCCTCTGCTACATCATGAGACACCAATAATGAATCTACATAATCATATAATTTTTTATACTCTTTTCTGAAATTCCTGTGATTATATGTGAGGTAATAGAGTGCACTAATTGATGTGAGTGTTGGATGTGAATTGAGTGTTTGTCCACCATTCCATTATAAGAGTCCTCACATGTTTTAACAACAAACTGTGTATCTTTAAAATGGTAGCAAAATCTGTAGCCCTTAAAAAAAAAATGATAGCAAATTCTGTAGTCTGCAATGTTTTCTGTGAATTATATAAAAATTTGAAATTTTAAAAATGAGTTACTTTTTTTATTAGTCAATCAAGATACTTATTCAAGTATCAGCTGACATTGATGTTACTGATAATGAAGAAAAAACTGCATTGCATACTGCAGCAGAGTATGGTCATTTTAACTGTTTAATAACATTAGTTCAAACTTCTGCTCGAAACATCAATGGTATGGATGAGAAAGGAAGGTCACCTTTGCACCTTGCTGCCAAAAATGGATGGATGTAAGTTAGGTTGTCCCAAAAAAAAACATTTTTGAAAAATATATGTTTTTACCCCCTCAATAAGTTCTATATGAAAAAAAAACAACCTGGATTTTAAAAACTTTTGAATAAAAAATATTTTTAGGGGTCTTACAAGACCCTTGAACAATCAATAAGTTCCTAATATTATTAAAAAAAAAATGTTTTTAAAAAGTGTATTATGTTTAAGCCTTCCCAGAAAGCACATGTTGATCGTCCACATTTAAAGTAATTTTTTTTTAGACACACTGACCACAGCAGTTCCTATCTTTTAGTTTATAAAGTGTTTCAATAATTTGCAGTAAAAAGCTAGACTTATCTACTAAGAAAAAAAAAACAATCTTGAAAAAAGGAAACAAAATTGTATCAAAATATCAAGTTTAGTTAAATAAACAAGAAATTTAATAATTAAAAAAAGAAAATTAAAAAAAAAAAATTTTTTATAAAATTTTTATACAATTTTTATATTCTTTTTTTTTTAGAGTGGTTGCTGTTTTTAGCTACCAAAATTTATGTTGATGAAAAAAATACATCTTTTATAACAATTTAACAACAATTGAAAGTTTTGCAATTTATTCATGATTGCAACTTATTCAAATGCAATTTATTCACGATTTTTATCAATCAGTATAATTAAGAAACTAATTTGCTATGTATGCTAGAACTATGAGAAATTTTGTGAATTTTTTTACTTACATTTATTTGTTTTGACATCTTTTCGCTTTAAAAATGTTTTTGCTATATTTGACGTTTTTTCTTAATACTTATATAAAAGGAAATAAGAAAACAATTGATATTTATTTGTAAAGATATTATTTGATTAATAAGTTTTGTAATGATGGGATAAATTAAATAAAAGAATAACATAAATGTATTTACCACGTTTGATGATAATGAATATGACATGCTCTGTTTGAAAAAATGTATTTAAAAACTTAAAAAAATTTTCAAATAGGCTTCTGAAAATTTTGTTAAAAAGTTCAATAAATTAACAATGCACTACAATAGCCCACAAGCTTTTGGAGGATAGTCAATAACATAGTTCATCAGGAAATAAAAAGGGAAAAAAAGGGTTTAAATGCTCAATTTGGGTAATCCAACAAAAGTGCAGACTATTTTAAAGTTAAAACAATCAAATAGTTTATAGTTAAATATTAGTATTAATGACTTTTTATTTTTTTACATGAAAAATGTTGGGAAAAAAATTTTTTTTTTTATAAATAAATAGCAATTAGTTTTCTCGATTTCCTGTGCACTGATTAAAAATTTTACAAAAACATTTGAAACACAAATTTTTAAATTGTCCATGTTTCTAGCGCAAATTAAAAAGTATTTCCTTAATATACTGACTGAAAAAAGGCGCGCATCAATTGTATACCAAAATTTTTTATTATTGTCGTTGTATTCTTAGATGCTTTTTTCCTTGTTTTAATTTTGGTAGTGGAAAATAACAAACACCCTAAAAAGAAAGAAAACAAAAACAGTAAAATGTTTAGGTGTATAATTTTTTTCACAAAATTTTACTTTTTTTAATTTTCAAATTTTTTTTAGTTCAATTTAGATTTTCTATTTCGTATAGTATTCATTTCTTTTCTTCATAATTGGTGTTTTATTCTTTATAGTTTTTTATAGCTTTATTTTTCAGTAAATTCTTTAAACATTTACTATATATAAAAATCTGGTCAAGTTGCCTAAAAAATTACTTTAGGCACAGAGGATTAAGGCGTGCGATTGCACACGCTTCCCAGAAAAACTTGCATGTTTGGTCTCAAATGAAGCGTTATTATATAAAAATTTCAAAATTGATAATTATTAAAATTATTTTATAAAAAACTTATTGTTAAAAAAGTTCTTTAAAATGGATTTTTTTCAATTTTAGTTAAAAACTACATTATTTATGCTGTTAAATCATACATATTTATTTTTATATAATATCTTTTTTATATAATATAGTTATCATTTTAAAAATTTTCTTATAATTTCACTTCATTTGAGACTCAACATAAAACATGAGCATACACTTTTTTTTTGATAATATTAGGAACTCATTAAATTTTCAAGGGTCTTGAAGGACCTCTAAAAATATTTTTTAATCACTTTAAATCCAGTGTTTTTTTATATATATCATATAGAACACATTAAGTAGGTGGCAGCATATATTTTTTAAAAATGTTATTTTTTGGGACCTCCTAATGTAAGTTAATTTTTTTATGGGTTTTAAAAAATTTTGCACTTTTTAACTTTTCTTTATTATTTGATGTAGAAAAACAACACTGACTTTAATTGAAATGGGTGCACAAATTTCAGGTCGTGATGATTCAAGTTGGACTCCCCTTGATTATGCTGCAAGAAATGGACATTCTAAAGTTGTAGTAGCTCTTATTAATAATGGTGCTAGTGTGGATGGATTTGATCCAAATAAACTTACCCCTCTTCATCATGCTTCCATTAATGGACATGTTGATTGTATAAATGTTCTGTTGAATCATGGTGCAAGTATATCTTTTCAGAATAAAGACGGAAAAAATTGTTTAGATCTAGCTATAGAAAATAACAGAAAAGAAGCTTGTGTAGTATTTGTTAAACATGATAGGTTATTATTTTGCTTTTTCTTTTTGCTTTTTGATTTTAAAAAAAGTGTTTTTATTAAGTATAAAAATGTAAATCATTATAGAGAAAGATTTTTTTTTTTTTAAATAGGATATTTCAGTTTTTTTTAAATATGGTGATAGCTAGTTTTTTTAAGAAATCAATGTGCATAACATAATAGTAAGTTTAATATAAAAAAACATATTTTCACCTGTTACAAACCATATGTTCACATGTTACAAAACATATGTTCATATGTTACAAAACATATGTTCATATGTTACAAAACATATGTTCATATGTTACAAAACATATGTTCATATGTTACAAAACATATGTTCATATGTTACAAAACATATGTTCATATGTTACAAAACATATCTTCACATGTTACAAAACATATGTTCACATGTTACAAAACATATGTTCACATGTTGCAAAACATATGTTCACATGTTACAAAACATATGTTCACATGTTACAAAACATATGTTCACATGTTACAAAACATATGTTCATGTTACAAAACATATGTTCATATGTTACAAAACATATGTTCATATGTTACAAAACATATGTTCATATGTTACAAAACATATGTTCATATGTTAAAAAACATATCTTCACATGTTACAAAACATATATTCACATGTTACAAAACATTTATTCAAAGCTGTTTACAAAATATTTAAATTGAAAGCATCATTTCTATCTTTTTTTTTCATCTTCCTTACATACACATTTTTCTTTCATCTTGATCATTTTCAGTTTTTTTCAATTTAACTATTTTATTACTAGCTTCTCTTTTTTCATCTTCAATTTGACTTCAGAGCATACTTTGTAAAACTGATTCAGGTTGAGCATACCTTGCTGGTTCTTTAAAATGCAAGTAAAAAAATGTCAATTAATTTGAGTTTAGTTTTTTAGTAATTGTATCTGTTTAAGTAAATTGATCATTTACTTAAACAGATACAAGTTAAGTCTGAGTAGATATAGGCCCATCTACTCAGACTTAACTTGTTTATCTTAATTTTTTAATTTTAATTTTAAATCAGTTGGAAGCATTCATACTCTCAACCTTTTTAAAAGTTTACTTGTTAATACATGTTTTGAAACCCAGAGTCTGCAAAACCTTAAAACAGTAGTAACCTATCTACTATAACTAACAGGATTGGTTCCTAATTATGCTTGCCACCTGGACCAAACTCCAATTTAAATAGACGTCACAATTTCATATCTATAGCTTTGTTGCTCAGATCTTTATTAATATTAGAACAGGATAAGTGATGCAGTCTCACAGGATAAGTGATGCAGTCTCACAGGATAAGTGATGCAGTCTCACAGGATACGTGATGCAGTCTCACAGGATACGTGATGCAGTCTCACAGGATAAGTGATGCAGTCTCACAGGATACGTGATGCAGTCTCACTAACTTCTGGAATAGTCTCAAAATGGATAGCATTATTTAACTTACCAAGTAGTCCTGAAAAATGATTACTTGCTTTAGTAGGACCATCAAGAAACTAAAATTTCTTAGAATTAGTTCCTTCCTGTGGGTTACATGCAATCCATCTAAGTCTCCTTGAATTTTTTTCAACCCACTGTATCACTCCTCCTGTCTATCCAGTTTCTACATTGGTATTTTTACAACTGTTTGTCAAATGCAAACATTTTTCTTTAAGCTACTTAATTAAGTGATCTGCAGTTATCTCTGCAGTTTTTTTAATCTGATTCACAATGTGAATCAGATTAAAAAAATTATGAAACATAATGAAAAAAATAATTTACACCAGGTTCACTAGACATTGTATATTTTTCTTGTACTAGACCTGGGAATTTTCTACCTAACATAAAAGTCACTTTTGGGTAAAAAGATTTATGATCTCATGTTCTGTATTTGCTTGATTATGTTCGCCGATTTATAATTTCTTATTTTCCAATATAATCAATGATCTGTTATTTAAATAATAGTTTTAACTTTTTCCCTTTGCTATTTAACAAAAATTACTAGGAAGAAGTGTTTTTTTTTTTTTTGTTTTTTTAAGATACATGCAATATGAGCTTTTCTGTCATGATTTTTTCTACAATTATTATCCAAGAAAAAAAGTTTTTTAAAGCATGTAAACGAATGTGAAAATTTTCACTGCATCTTTAGTTACTACTTTTTTCACCGCATCTTTAGTTACTACGGTTATTATTTTCAGAAAAACTTATATAGAAGTTTATTATAATATATTATTAGGAGGAGTCCATAATCATCTTTTTTTTTAGATTTTTCATTTTAATTATTTAGCTTTCTATTTCGATTTTAATAAAAGTGAATATATTGACAAAAAAAGGCATTGTTAAAAATAGATGAAATTATTATTATCATTAATATACCTTATGATTTATAAGTAACAATAAAAAAATTAGGCATTATATATGAAATAATTCATACAGTTTGTCATTTACTATTGAAAATGGAAAATAACTATAAAAGTCATCGTATGTGATGGATATTGCTGCGGGAACTTTCCATGTAGAACATCTAGGTTATGAGCGTGTTCTTTGGTAGACATACAAAGGAAGGTTTGTATTTTTGTATCAACAATCATGGTCTTTAAACAGAATAGACCTCCGCGACTATGACCTACATTGTATCCCTAAAATAAAGAACCTCATTTTTCAAATTTTTTTTTTCACTTTAACATATTTTTATCTACTTCAATAATATCTAGTTCACAGCTAAATAGGCTGCCTTGTAACTTTAATCAAACTTAAATAGAACTCATCTTGCACACCTGATGTAGAGTTTGCTGCTCTTCCATTGTTATCCATGTTTTTGTAGCTGGTTTTAACTATATTCCATAGTTTCAACTTTTTGGACAAATAATTGGACAATAATTTTCCAAAATATTGTTAAACTACGCGAACCTTCATTTTTTATATGGTTTAAATAATAAAGTATACATCTACTGTTGAAATTAAATGGATTTTTTCCTAAGCTTTCCAACTGCAACAACTTAATTAGAAAGTTAATACTAATCATATTCCATCATCAACCAAACACATAATACTTTTCTCTTTTTTGAAGTCCTGAGGCTAACTTTTGCCAAAATACTCTAGCAAGAACGATACAATCATTCAACCTCTTTGAGGTATACTTATTAACTGCTTCTAGTTTTTTTTTAACTAGCTATTCACTGCATTTTAGAGTAAAGCAGAAAATTTCAAAATTTGATCACCCAGTTTATTTTTTATAAAGCCTTTTAGGTAGCGGTATTCCTTTAGCCTGTTTATCTTTAGAGTTGTTAAACCTTTAGAATTTAACTGAACTTCTACTGACTGGCACTTTAAAAGAAGAGTTTTTCTTGACTTCATTTAAGAAAAGTGAAAAAAAAAAGAAATCTTGAATAGCCTTCTTGATAGCTTGAATAACGATTAAAAATAAATAAAAAAAAGGAAATTTAGATATTTTGAAGCAATCTGTCTTTTTGATTACTTAAAACGTTTTGTTTAGAAAGAGACTTCAGATCAAAAAACTTTTTTTTTCTAAAACGCAACGATTAAGAATCAAATTTATCCAATCAAAATTTGAATAGCATAAATTTGAAAGAAAAGTTGCATAACTTTATACGCAAAGAAACTTTTGCATAGACTTTTATTTTTTATATCTTTAAATTTTTAAAATAGAAGTAGAAGGTCAACCATAAAAAATTGCTAATTTTTTATTAGAGCAAAAAACTTAATTTTTCTTAAAAAATTAATTAAGAATAACTTGTTAAACAAGAAATATAGAAATTTGGACACCTCCTCCCCCTAATGATATATATAATAGAAGTGCCATATTAACATAGTTGTGGCAGGGATCAAACTCAGAAATTTTTGCTTAAGAAGTTAGCGCTCTACCACTATTGCATTTTGCATTGGAGATTTTTCCTAACCTCAGTGCAGGACCATAGATGTAAACTAAAAAAAAAATAATAATGTAAAAAAATGATGTGTGATTATATTAAAACAACATATTGCTATACAATGTATTAAAACAGTTGTATAATGTTGATAAAGCTAGTTTACTATTGACCTTTGATCTTGTTTTGGATACCAAATGAGAAAATTAAAGTGCACATATATTCTATAAATGATTTAAATCTTCACTATAAGTGTAATTAGGCATGTAAAATTATGTAAAAATTAGGCATATATGTAAAAAAGATACCAGTGTAATTTTTTGAATAAACCTTTTGTATAAAATGGGACCTCTCTGTAAAATACACAAGATAATATTTAAAATTGCATATAAGCATTTAGTGTTTCTATCGTTTATATATTATTTGTTCTTATTATTACTGTTTTTACTTTGTTTTTGTCTGTTTGTTTTTTAAAAGAACTTAAGCAGTTACATGTTTTTTTCAGTCAGATGGGTTTGCCTTTACTTAGCCTAAAAACATTTTATAACTTTAAAACATTAGCATTGTATAACTTGAAAACACTAGCATTGTATAACTTGAAAACACTAGCATTGTATAACTTGAAAACATTAGCATTGTATAACTTGAAAAAATTAGCATTGTATAACTTAAAAATATTAGCCATAAATAAAGCATAAACAACCTGTAAAGAAAAATCTGCTAAAACTTATGTTTAAGGTTAACAATAAAAGTGTTTTAGAAACAATAAAAAATGTTTAACAATAAAAAATGTTTTAAAAATCAAAATATTATAATATTAAATTTAGATGGAAAGAAGCACTCAACCATTTTGATAATGAAGGGTTTAATCCTATGGAAAAACTGATATCATCAGCTCCTGATATTGCAAAAATTGTTTTAGACAGATGTGTTGAATATTCTAAAATTGATGAAAAATTGGAAGAATATTATATATGTTATGATTTCCAATATCTTGATTTTCCACCTGACTGTAACTTCAAAAGGCATTACTTTGGTCCTTCCAGTATGGTAGCATATAATTGTGAAAGTTTACTTTCTCATCCACTTACTGTTCAACTTATTAATGATAAATGGACACGTTTAGGTCGTTGGATTCATTTGATCAGCTTGTTTATTTATATTATGTTTGTATCTATGCTTACTGGTTTACTTATTATTGACAAAACAAGGCAAGAAATTTTTCCATTTTTCATTAGTTTGTTTTATTTTCTTAATTTTATATTTTACTGTTTGTTATACTTTCTGAATATATTTTTTTTCTTCTAGAATTCAATACTTTTATATTATAAATATAGCATTTATAAAAGATTTATATATATTTCATAAAAAATTTTGGTCTTTAAATTTTTAGTTTCTTAAAAAACCATGAACTAAATTAAATTGAAAGCGTAGTAGATCAAGTGAACTAAATATTTAAAAATATGGCATCATTTTTCTTACCAAAAACTAAAGATAACCATTGTAAATTAGATACTGTTTTGAAATCGAAAAAAAATTTAATTTAAAGTTTGAGTATGATATTGAGGAAAATGATGTTGTAAGATTACGCTGCTTGCTTTGCAAGCAATATGAATTTCCTATTAGAAACATTTAAAAATTTTCTATTTTGTGGATTCACTTTGGAACTCGGTCAATTAAAAAAGACAGCATAAATCATCAGAGGAAAATAGGTGCAGAAGGTTTTAAAGAATATATAAATAAAAACACTGATACTAAAAAAGGGCTACAAGAAGTGGGTGAAAAAGGTGACTCACTTAAAAAAGAAATTCAATGCAGTTACTTCTTGGCAAAAAAAGAGCGTCCATTTTCCAATTTCCCTGATATGCTAGAGCTAGTTTTAAAAAATGGTGTTGATCTTGGTAATCAATTAATCAACCTGATGGTTTTTTTACAAATTACATTGGTAAAATTGCTGAAGATTTATTCAGAGATGATTTTACACTCATCTCTGAATAAATCTTCAGCAGTTCCCACTCCTCTTTAAAAACCTAAAATATCCTTAAAAAATAAAAACCTCCTTAAATAAAAAAAACTTCAAATTTGACTGCACTCCTTAATTTCTCATTATTTATTATTTATTATTTTTTAATCATCTTGGAAATTTTATTTAAGTGAATAGATTATACTTATTAATAAAGAGGAAAATATATAGTTCTTTGATAGTTTGCAAACCTATATTTTTATTAAATATATATTTATATTTAAATATATATATATATATATATATATATATATATATATATATATATATATATATATATATATATATATATATATATATATATATATATATATATATATATATAAAGTGATATATTAATTTATTATAATTTCTCTTTTTATATTTAAAATTTATTAAAAAAAAAAAGATTGTTTTTAAAAGCATTGAAATAAATAAGACTGATTTTAAAATTAGTTGTTTTCTCCTTAATTCTCAAAAAATTGTCGTTCGCGACCAAATCTTTTTAAATATTAGGAAAATATCTCCTTAAATCTCCTTAAAATCCTTAATTTTAGCGTCAGTTCTATTAGTGGGAACCCTGTTTTATAAAGTTGAGATATTCACTTTTAAGTGATGGCAGTTGTGATATTGTTACACTCGAACAGGAATTAGTATATGTATTTGTTTGAGGGCAGTCCATGCATTAAACTTTTTGTTGGTTGAAAGCCTTGGCAATAGTAATGCCTGTGGTTTACAAATCTGTCTAGAACAAGCATTTGCAAGAGTTGGAACAAATGACATGACTAAAAAACTCTTAGGGTTAAACGTAGACAAAGCTAGCGTAAGTGTTGGTGTTAATTCAGGTTTCGGAGCATTATTTAAAAAAAAATCTCCATGGCTTCAAGTAATACATTGTTTTAGCCGTCGTCTCGATTAATTGGACAATGGAAAAACTTAAAGTTCTCCTAAAAAGCTTGGTAGGTAATATTTCAATAGAGCAAACTATTTTAACAAACTACAAAAAATTAATTAAAAGTATAGAAAATTTTTAATAAAACTAATGCCTTGGTGTAACACATTTATACTGATAAAATGAATAGTTTAATTACTAGTATGGATTTACGTTTTAAAGATATTAAGGTATCTCCTTTATTCTGTAATTTAATTTTTCTTTTGTACATTTCTTTTTGGCCAATGAACCCTGTGATTACATTAGGTGATAAAGAAATAATTGTGAAGTGATTTCGCATTTTAAAGACCTAAAAAATAGGAATGTAAAACTCATGAAGTTTTTATTCAGTGGATTGTTTTAAAAAGTTATGTATTTCCAATGTTAAAAAATTTGTTAGGTGAATACTATTTGAAAACGTGGAAAAAAATATTTACATCATATATCATTGCTGAATGCAAAAATGTGTTAGACATATTTGAGTTGTTTTTACTTTGTCCATTTACAAACGCTAAAGTAGAAAGTATGTTTTGTATTAACAGAGTAAAATCGGATTGGAGAAACAAACTATTACATGATCGTCTTGAATTTCTTTTACGAATAGGCAAAGAAGAATGCAGCATCAAGAAATTTGACCCAAACCCTGTTTTGCATGCTTAGTATAAAGATAAAATAAGAAGACTATCAGCTGCTCCTCATTGTTATCTTGAAAAACAAAAAAAATCTGCCGATGCACATTTCATCGACCTTTCTCTATTAACAATATCAGATTTAGAAAGAGAATGTGATAGTGATAACTCTGATGTATAATCGGGTGGACACGGAAAAATGCGATCAACTTTAAATTGAGATTTCTCTAAAACCATAAATGCTTTTTAAATTTTTTTATTATTAAATGTGTTTACATAAATTAGAGTTTCATGGGTTGTTTGGCAAGAAATCAAATTTTATATGCCATCATTTCACAGATTTTTTCTTTTTTCACTATATTGGTGGCATTAATCCACTTTTTTTGGAAGTCCTTTTTATTATTTGTTACTCCATCTGTCTTACAAAGAACTCCTTTAACTATTGCCCAAAAATTTTCAATCTTGCGCTCTTCAGGACGATTTGGAGGATTTGCATCTTTAGAAACAATTTTCACATTATTATTTTCGCACCACTGTAGAACTTTTTTAGAATAGTGAGAGACAGCAAGTTCGAGCCAAAAGAGACATCGGTATTAGTGTTTTTTTATAAAAGGCAAAAGTTATTTTTGGAGGCATTCTTTGATGTAGAGATTGGCAGCCAAGGTCTTTTTAGTTACAAAACAAGAGGACTGCATACCACAGCTATAAATTGCTTGCCACACAAGGAACTTGGATGCAAATTTTTCTCATCAAATATATTTAAATTGTACTTTTTTGATATAAGAACGAGAAGTCTTGAAAAATTTTTGCTAGATCTTGGATTAGACCGGTTTGGATTTCTTGCTATTGAATGTAAAATCGACTTTACCTTTTTGGATTTATGGAAAGTTTTTATTCTTCCACTTCCAAGTTTTCTTTCGAAGCTTTGAGTAGTCTTGAACTTGTTTATATAATATCTATGACTGTTTATATAATATCTATGACTGTAGATTTTAAGACATTGGTGCGTTTAGCAATCAAGCAATAGGAAGTCGATGGATTTTTGCAAAAAAAATTCACAACTTTTTTACGCACCTCAACTTGTTTCCAAAAAGTTTTGCAAATCATTAATTTGTAAACAAAAATTTATCAACACCATTTTTAAAATAAGGAAGTAAGATTTAATTAAAAAAAAAAATTAAATAAAAAGTATCTGTGGTTTTAGAGAAATCTCAATTTAAAGTTGGCCAGATTTTTCCGGGTCCACCCGATAACTTATTTTGCTATATTTTTTTTAATAAAATTCGTTGTTACTTATAATTACAAACTATTTTATAATATATATTTATCTTAACACATTATTTTTATAATTGACATATTTTAGTTTATAAACATAATTATAAATATAACTAAAAATAATCAAAATAAATCCAAAATTTAATTGAATCTAGAAAAATTGCAAAACTTCAGAAACGTTTAAAAGCATAAACTTCTAAAATCAACAATTTGTAAAACTGTTACAAATGGTTTGAAAAAAACGCATAAAAATGGTTTTTAAGAAAAACAAAGTTTGAAGACCAGAAACTTTTACAGAATTATCGATTCGCGATCACTTAATTTGCCCCTTGTTTACAATAGTCCCTTGCAGTAGTAGGCTATAAGATAGTTGATGTATGTACTGAACCCCCTGCGGCAGGCTATTTCAGTGTGGCATCAATGTGCATATCTAAACATGCATTCATAGTTGCAGTTGTTATGTAAAAGTTTTTTTGTGAGTTGCGAATTGTTGTGAGTATTTTGTTTTCACTCAAGTAACTGTGGCCGAAAATAAACCAAGAAATTATACCAATAAACTTGAAAGACTATTTGTCCCAAGATGTTTTTAGGCCAAGTACTTTTTTGCATGATCTTGCAATAGAAACCATAACATTTTGCCCTACAGGACTGCAGAAAACTTTCAAGATAGGAGATTGCATGTATTTTTTGCCAGCTACTGGTTTATTTCTTGAGTATACTTATGCATAATTTCTTCTTCAAGCAGCCAGGAACTCACCATAAGGTCATATTTATGAGTGACAGCCTTTACCTACTGGTCCTGTACATGACACAGGATTAGAACCCAAATGAATCAGAGACAGTAGTGCCTGCTACTCTCAAACAAATAAAAATTGCTACAAATTACATTGTCTTTTTTCACTGAGTATTTTTTTTTTTTTTTTTTTTGAAGGGCACAACAGCACCTATGGCAACTCAGGCTCCTTTTAATGACCTAAGGGCTTTTAAGATTTCCATCTCCAAATGTCAGATGACTTCAAAGTCTTCGCAGAGGTTGAGAAGGTTTTTACCAAAAGCCTTTTATGCCACACTTGGTGTCTTTCACCCCAGCTTGTTGTTGTATTTCTAACTGACATAGATTTAGATGCTGATGTCAAAAACATCATCCTTAAAAAATTGCTTACTTTTGCAGTTCCAGATAAGGAAACCAAGTTTCAAATCCCATCAATTTGAAACTTGGCAATTGAAAAATCAAAACAACCATTGTTCTAATGTCAACTCGTGTTAACTTTGTTACTGAGAAAGTTATCTATTTTTTTCTTATCCTTGAAATCACTAAGGAAAAGCTTTTTTAGTGGTGGAAGAAAGGCATAGCAGCTTGTGAGGGTGAGAGAT